CCACATTTTGAGAACCACCCGCCCTCCATTAGCGAAGCTGTTGCCAGTCCTAGCTTCAGGATCATGAGTCGTGTGGAAGTCTCTCGGGTGAAACGCCTGGCCCGCCTTGTCGACCAGCCTCGGGGCGAGACAGGGAGGAGCTGTCTAAAAGGGAGAGGACTGAGGAGGGGGAGGGGGGAAGGAAGAGGGGAGAGATGGGGGTGGGGACCCCTCCCCCATCCCCTCTCGAGCTTGCAGGGCCTCGCGAGTCTGCACAGCAGAATGCTCCCAGAAGGGCAGCGGTCTCCTCGCGGTCGCCCGCCCGCGCCCTCCCGGCCACAGCGCCGGAGTGGCTGGGGAGGGTGCCGATCTGGCGGGCGGAGGGCGAGGACTGATGCCTGCAGTCTTGGCGAACGTCGGCTTGACGCCTTCCTCGCTGTCGTGCAGCCGGGCCGAGGCATCAGATCGAGGTCGTTTCGGGGAGGGTGCCCTAATGTTCGTCGTGTCTGATGGGTGCTCTTGCGCATCCTGGGGAGGGTGCCCCTGGACGTTCTGTTTGTCTTGACCGACGGAGGGTCTGACGTTCTGGAAGGATGTGCTTCTGGCCCAGGTCCGACTTCACTCGGCCCCCTCCTCCCCAGCGGGGGCCCCCAGCTGGGGACCCCCCCGCCCGTCCTGATGAGGCGGGGGCGCGCCAGTTCTTGCGAGCCCCCCCGGACAATTTCCCTCCCGCCCCCCCGTTCTTTCCAGCTTCTCTTCGCCCCCACCCGTCCCTCTTCAACTGGCTCCTCCTCCCCGGCTGGGGCACCCAGCAGGGCGCCCCTTGACGCGCCCGCGCGCGCCGAAGGCAAGCTCTCGTTCTCGCGCGCCGTGCCCGACGAGTCCCAGGACGGGCCCCGCGCCGCCGAAGACGGCGGCAGCAGGCCAACGACGGCGACGACGACGACGACGACGACGACGACGACGACGACGACGACGACGACGACGACGACGACGACGACTACGACGACGACGACGACGACGACGAGAACGACGACAGAGGCGACGACAACGACGGTGACTGCGGCGGCGGCGGGTGAGGCGGCGGCGGCGGCGGCGATGACGACGACGACGACGGCAGTGGAGACGATGGTTGCGACGGCGGCGACGATGTCGCCCAGGAATGGGTGGTCCTCTCGCCCCCCTGCCCTTTCCCCTTCCCCCCCTCCCCCCCCCCCCCGCCGCCTCCTCTTGACCCCCGTTCCCTCCCTCTGTTCCCCCCCCCTCACCCCCCGAAGCGCCCCCACCCCAGCTTCCCCCCCCCCTTCCCCCGAAGTCTCCCCCCCTCCCTTTCCCTTGAGTCCTCGCTGCCCGCTCGTCGCGCCCATGCCTTTCTCCTCCCCTCCTCGCCTCGCTCCCCCGGCCCAGGGCCCCGGGCCCCCCTGCCGTTGCCCACTCTCGGGCCGGACGAAAGGGGGGGATTGGGAAAGGGGGGGTTACGAAATTTGCTGCATGCAGCTGGTTTCGGCCCCACCGAGGGGCCCATTCCTCGATACATAGCCGCCTCCGGCGCCGGGAGGCGCCGGGAAAATCAGCTACGTGAGCTGATTCTCAAACCCCCCCTTTGCTATCCCCCCCTTTCGCCCGGCCCGACACTCGGTGGGTCCCCAGGACAATTGGCGCAAGCGGCTGTACGAGGAGGCCGTGCGGCGGCGGGCAGCTGATCGGGAGGGGGGGCGGCACGGACAGGGCGTGCGCGCTGCCCCAGCAGTGCCCCTGCGCCACGCCCCAGGCGCCCAGGAGCAAACGATGCAGCCATCGCGCCTGGTGAGGGCGCGCGCCTTCATCTAGGCTGCCCTTGTAACCTTGCCTCTGCGGCCTGTCCTTTGCCGTTTTCAGTGGTCGCCCGCCGCCCCCAAAGATGCAATTTCGGCCTCCAAGGGTCGTGCGTCCTGACCAGCCGTGCTCAATATACGTACGTGTTGATTGTAACACAAACACAGACTGTTGGAGGTCCGCGCGGATTTCTTGGGTGGGCGCTGGGCCCCCTTCCCTGGCGCTCGGAGCGCGGTGGGGGCGGCGCCAGAGGCACCGCCAGGGGGCTCCAGCGCCGATCCGAGAACTCTACGCGGAGCTCTGAAAGTGCATGTCTGCGCCATCACGTGTACCCCGAGGCCCCACAGAAGCAGCAAATTCTAGACGCTTCGCGTATCCCCACCAGCCCGTCCAGAAACGACGCCCAGGCGAGTAGAGGGTCGTCCTGAGGGGCTTTTCGGCGTCTTGGGTGCCTCGGGGGGGCCTCTGTGGGCCGTTCGGGATCCTCTTTGGGGCCTCCTGGGGGCCTCTTGGGGCCTCTTGGGGCCATCTTGGGGCCTTTGGGGGCCTCCTGGGCGCTTCTTGGGGCCATCTTTGCCCCTTGGGTGCCTCTGGGGGGTCTCTTGGGGCCTCTTGGGGGTCTCTTGGGGGCCTCCTGGGGGCCTCTTGGGGGGCCTCTTGGGGCCATCTCGGGGCCATCCTGCGGCCTCTTGGGGCATCCTGGGAGCCTCTGGGCGCCCTTGAAGGCCCTGCTGGGGCGCTCTTGGGGCAATTTTGGAGGACATCGGCCAAGGAAGTGGGGTTCCCTAATTACAGCCCCCCCCAGGAGCTCCAAAAATCGCTTCCTGGACCCCTCTTGGATCGCTCTTGGAGCGCTCGTGGCCGCTCTTGGAGCCATCCTGAGGCTCTCTTGGGCCCCTCTTGGAGCTATCTTGAGCCATCTTGGAGCCATCTTGACGCGTCGGATGTGCATCGCAAGCGAAAAAGTGAGAACACCAAACACATTGAGTTTCCCCAGGGTTTTGAAGCATTTTGGCCTCTTGGATGCATCCTAATGATGCTCTTGTGGGCACTTGGAACCGTCTTGGGGAGTTCTTGGAGCGTCTTGGAACATCATGGGGACCATCTTGAGGCATCTTACGCTATCTTGAGCCATCTTGGAGGTCATCTTGAGCTCCCTGAGGCCCTCTTGGAGCCGTGTTGGGCCGTCTTGGACGCTCTAACTACCCGCGGCCCCCCCTGTCCAGGTCAGTGGGGAGGGGGTAGGGGGAGGGGTAAACCCCTCCCCGGAGGGGAAGAAGGAGGGGTGGAAGAGGAAACGCTCTAAACCACCGACGCCCAGAGGGCTGGTGGGATTTCGGAAAGCAGCATGGCTAATCACGCCAGTCGGTCGACCGGGGGGGGGCGGCTGCCCTCGACACCCAGATGACAGAGTTTGCGGCCTTGCACCCGCTATCGAGCCATATCCTGGCCACCACCGCCGTCGCCGCTGCTGCAACCACCGTCGCCATTGTCGTCGTCGCGTCGTCGCCATCGTCATCTTCGTCGTTACCGTCGCCGCCATCGGCGTTGTCGTCGTTGTCGTCGTCTTCATTCGTCGTTGTCGTCGTCGTCGCCAACGTCGTCGCCAACGTCGTCGTCGTCGTCGTCATCGTCGTATTTGTCTTCGTCGTCGTCCCCTTCGTCGTCGTCGTCGCCACCATCGTCGTCGTCGTTGTTGTCGTCGTCTTCATCGACGTATTCGCCGTCGTCTTCTTCGTCGCCATCGTTTTCGTCGTCGTCGTCGCCACCTTCGCCACCGTCGTCGTCGTCGTTGTCTTCGTCGCCAGCTTCGTCGTCATCGTCGTCGCCGTCACCGTCGTCGTCCTCATCGTGGTTGCCGTCATCGTCGTCGCCGTCACCGTCGTCGTCCTCATCGTGGTTGTCGGTATCGTCGTCGTTGTCTTCGTCGGCGTCGTCGTCTTCGTCGTCGTCTTCGACGTCGTCATCGTCTTCGTCGTCGCCACCGTCGTCGTCGTCTTCGTCGTCGCTATTGTCGTCGTTGTCTTCGTCGTCGTCGTGTTCGTCGTCGTCGTCGTTGTCGCCACCGTCGTCTTCATCGTCGTCGTCATCTTCGTCGTGGTCGCCATCGTCGTCGCCGTCGTCGCCGTCGCCACTGAACTCGTCGTCGTCGTCGTCGTCGTCGTCGTCGCCACCGTCGTCGTCGTCGTCATCTTCGTCGCCTTCGTCGCCTTCGTCGTCGTTGTCGTCAGCGCCGTCGTCGTCGTCGTCGTCGTCACCACCGTCGTCGTCGTCGTCGTTGTCGTCGTTGTCATATCGTCGTCTTCGTCGTCGTCGTTGTCGCCTTCGTCGTCGTCGTCGCCACCGTCGTCGTCGTCGTCATCGTCGCCGTCTTCGGCGTCGCCATCGTCGAGGGGGCCTCTTGGGTGCCCCTCCTGGGCCGTCTGCGGCCCCTTGCGGGCCGTGCTGGGGCCACCTTGCGCTTGGCGCGGCCTCGGCTGGGCCGTCGTGGGGCCATCCTGGACGGCCTTGAGCCCGTCGCGGGGTCCTGTTGGGCTGTCCTGTCGGGCCCCAGCTTCTCCCCCCCCCCCTTCCCCCGAAGTCTCCCCCCCTCCCTTTCCCTTGAGTCCTCGCTGCCCGCTCGTCGCGCCCATGCCTTTCTCCTCCCCCTCCTCGCCTCGCTCCCCCGGCCCAGGGCCCCGGGCCCCCCTGCCGTTGCCCACTCTCGGGCCGGACGAAAGGGGGGGATTAAGAAAGGGGGGGTTACGAAATTTGTCGCATGCAGCTGGTTTCGGCCCCACCGAGGGGCCCATTCCTCGATACACAGCCGCCTCCGGCGCTGGGAGGCGCCGGGAAAATCAGCTACGTGAGCTGATTCTCAGACCCACCCTTTGCTATCCCCCCCTTTCGCCCGGCCCGATCTGAGAGCGTTTTCTGGGCCGCCCCAGAGCCGCCTAGAGCCGTCGCTGATCAAGGGGCGTTGAGCCAGTTTGTCAAAAACAAAAAAAAATGACCGCGTTCCCGGCAACTGTTGGCGTGTTGGGGCCCTCGTGGGGGGGTCTCTGGGAGCCCTCCGTTGCCCCTGAAGCCATGCCGAAGCCACGCGGGCCGTCCAGAATGATCCTTGAGGCGGTTGAGTCCGCGGGCCCTGTTGGTACAGACCCCCCCCCCGCCAAAGCGGCTGCACGGAACACCTGGGGAGGCGTTCTCCGCCTCCCCAGGTGTTTCGTACAGAGCGAGGGACGGGGAGGAGGAGGAGGAGAAGGAGGCGGAGGTGGCGGAGGAGGAGGAGGTGGCGGAGGAGGAGGAGGCGGATGAGGAGGAGGGGCTGTAGACTCCAAGGGGCCGGCGGATGACCAGAAGTGACCAGTGGGTAACAGTTTCGCCCGGATGCAGGGCAATTTTTGTTGAGATGCTTGACGCTTCGCGTATCCCCACCAGCCCACAAGCAGATCGCCAGGCGAGTTGTTGTGATCAGGAAAGTGTAAAAGAGTGCAGTGCAACAACCGCCTTGGAAGCGTTTTTCTCAGAGGCATCCTGGAGCCATCTGGGGGCTGTCTTGTGGTCCTCGTGGAGCCTCTTGAGGCAATCTTGAGGCCCTACTGGGGCTCTCTTGGGGCCTTCTTGGGGCCCTCTTGATGCTCGCTGGGGCGGTCTGGGAGACCTCTTGGGGCCATCTTGGCCCTCATGACTCAAAAAGGGCTCTCTTCTCTTGGGGCTCTCTTGGGCCATTTTGGGAACATCCTGAGGCCTCAAGATCTTATCGGAAGCGAAGAGGCGAGGAGGCAGCACACATTGATTTGTCTTCGGTGTTGGAGCCATTTGGGCTTCTTGGGGGGGGTCCTTGGAGGGATCGGAGAATGCTTGTAGGAACTATTGTGGAGGGGACTTGGGACGGCATGGTTTATGGCAGCATCGCTGATACAGATTGAGTTTGCCCTGGCCCTCTTCATTATCATCATCTCTCGGGGGGTCTAGTTGTCCGTTAGCGCAATCCCTTTTAGGTCCTTCTTGGGGCGCCGTTTTCCAGACCTCTTGGGTAACTCTGTGGGTGCCAGTTGGAGGTATTGCTGCTGTTGTTAGTCGGTTTTGCCAGCCATTCGGGCCTCTCGGGACGCTTTTGAGAAATCCGTTCTCTTTCCCGGCTCCCTGCACCACCATGTACGTCCCCGTTCCTCCTTCGCGAGGGCAGGGGGGATGTGAATTTGGTGGCTGGGCACATCGATCGTCGGTTAGTATCTTCGCACGTACACATTATTTGTGTTTGGTGTGATTGATAATTCGTTTTGTCTCTCTCTCTCTCTCTCTTTCTCCTTTCCTCTCCCTCGTCTGCCCACCCAGCACTGGTCGTGCTCTCTCCTCTTCCTGTTCCCCTCCCCCCCTTCCCGAGGCCAAGCCCCTGCAGATCCGGCTCTTGAGAGAGTACGGCGGCCAGGCACTTCGCGTCCTGCCGCGTTGCTTCCTCGCCGTCGCAGATGTTTGCGTAAAGCCGGCCCATATCGGAAGGATGCGCGGTACCCATCGGTCGTTGAAAGTAAGTGATTTCGGAGTCCCATAATCCAATCTATTTTAAGCGCCTTCCTACTTCAATGATCGAGTGGCTTCACCTTGTCCGTCCTATTTGGGCGGGCGGGCGGACACCCAATCTATTGTCAACGCCTTCCCCCCTCCTTCCCCCCTGCTTCCGCCCCCCCTCCCTCCTCCCCCCCTCCTTCCCCCCCTCCTTCCCCCCCTCCCTCACAGACTTGCTGCCTCCGGGCAGGTTCATCCGAAGATCGCAGCCGTGCCCCCCTCCCCCGCCCCTGGCCAGCGCCAGGCGGGCGGGCGAGCGTGAAAGCAGCCCTCAGGCAGAGCACGGCATATATCATGGCTGAAGTCGGGCCTGTCCCTCTACAGGGAAACAATTTTTCAAGAATAGTAGAAAAATAGTCTGGGGAATACTTTTTGATTGTCTGTTGGCTATGTTGGTGCATGCTTGGAGTATTTTTAAATTTTCGCCCAGGATCCGCCTGTATGGGGACACGCTCAACCTAAACCTAGGCCTCCCAGATGGGGTTGGAGCATATGGGGGCGGAGGATCGCGCCGCATCGCCGATGCATCGCCGATGCGGCTCGATGTGGAGCCCGACCTGCTTCACGTCGACGTCGCCGATGCATCGCCGGTGTCGCCGATGCATCGCCGATACATCGGCGATGTATCGGCGATGCGGCGCGATCCTCCGACCCTAAGTGGGAGGCCTCTGATGTAGCGACGGTGGCGGCGGGCCCCTGCAGATGACGACCGCAGTAAGGCGCCCGCAAAAACCACAGGGCGAGGCACGCAAGCCAAACGACCCACCGGGTAAGAGGGATGTCCCGCGCGGCGTGGCTGCATTTCTGATCCCGGGCTTGGAAGAAACACACATACAAACACGCACATTCACACACGCACACACTCACACACACACACACATACGCACACATACACACACACACGCACACACACACACTCAGTGCTGGTCAGGTCCAACGCTGGCCCCCCGCTGACGCCTTTGGGAGCCATCTGGAGTCTGAATGTCAAAAAACATACACACACTCACACGCACACACATACACATACATACATACATACATACATACATACATACATACATACATACATACATACATACATACATACATACATACATACATATATATGTACATATATACATACACACATATATATATACATATGTGAACGACCACCCTTCGGGTGCAAACGACATCTGACTCAGTCGATCTCACTTGTTGGGACACCAAGGGACACCACGGGACTTTTATGTCGATCTCACTATCGATCTCACTACGGTCTCTCACTCAACGGGACACCACGGGACACCGCGGGACACCTCTCGATCTCCTCATCGGTCTCACGATCGATCTCACTCAACGGGGCACCATAGGACAACACGGGACACCACGGGACACCACATCGATCTCATTATCGATCTGACTATCGATCTCACTTCACGGGACACCACGGGACACCTGTCTTTCTCACTATCGGTCGCACGTTTTGGGACATCATGGGACACCTCGGGGCACGACATCGATTTTAGTATCGATCTCATTATCGATCTCACTCAACGGGACACCACGAGACACTTGTCGATCTCACTATCGATCTCATTTTTTGAGACGCCACGGGACACCTCGGGGCACCACATCGATCTCAGTATCGATCTCATGTTTGATCTCACTATCGATCTCACTCAACGGGACACCACGAAACACCGCGGGACACCGCGAGCCACCGCCGAACGGACGGACGGACGGGGGAGACTCATTTGTCTTGACTTTGCCCTAGCAACGGCGGACACCGCGGAACACCACGGGACACCACGGGACACCGCGGGACACCGCGGGCCACCGCCGGACGGACGGACGGACGGACGGGGGAGAATTATTTGTCTTGATTTCGCCCTAGCAACGGCAGAAACCACGGGACACCGCGGGACACCGCGAGCCACTGCCGGACGGAGGGGCGGACGGACGGGGGAGCAACATGTGTTTTGATTTGGCCCTAGCAACGGCGGGTTCATTCTTCTCGCGCGCCCACGCAGCTTCGCCTCGCCCGCACGCACGACACGAACGAAACGAACCGATTTCCCGGTTTGGTGTCCCAGTTCCATTGCGATCTCACCCCCCCATCATCCGATACAGATGTACATATATATATATATATGTTTGTATGTACATACATACATATATACATATTTACACACACATACATACATACATACACACATCCATCCATACATCCATACATACATACATACATACACACATATACACACATACATACATACATACATACATACATACATACATACATACATACATACATACATACATACATATGTACGTACGTACGTACGTGCGTACGTACGTACATACATACATACATGCATGCATGCATGCATACATACATACATACATACATACATACATACATACATACATTCAGACAGACAGACAGACAGACAGACAGACAGACAGACAGAGACAGACAGAGACAGACAGACATGAAGACAGACAGACAGACAGACAGACAGACAGACAGACAGACAGACAGACAGACAGACAGACAGACAGAGACATGCATGCATGCATGCATGCATGCATACATATATACATATATATATATATATATATATATGTATACATATCGGAGTAGGCCGGGGGGCGGGCCGCTGCCTGTACCCTCCATGGGCGCCGCTCGGGGTTTGTTGGGGGGTCCCAGAGCTCCCGAGGCGGCCCTGGCCCGCCCCGAAACAGGCCACGTCAGGCGAAGGGGATCTCAAAAGGGCCCAGGACGGTCCCAAGAGGCCTCGAAGACGCCCCAGATGCTTCTAGACGGCCGACGAGAATTCCAACGCGTTCCACGACGGACTCAAGAGGCTCCCCAAGAGGACCCTGGGAGGCAACGTTCATTTATTTTCCATTGGTCTTTGAATGATTTTGGTGTTCTCGCTTTTCCCGCTTCCCAGCGCTCCCTCACGGCCTAGGAGGCCCTTCAGATCGCTCCAAGGCGGCCCACGAAGCCCCGAAGAGGGCCCCAAGACGGCCCAGGAAGCCCCCCAGACAGCCCAAGTGTGCCTCAAGAGCGTCTCAGGAGGGGGCCCAGGGGGGCACCGCGAACCGATAATTCCAGGTCTTTGGCCCGAGAGGCCCCCAGCAGGCCACCAAGAGGCGCCCACGAAGCCCCGTGAGGCGCCCAAGAGGCTCCCGGGAAGCCCCAAGAGGCCCCCAAGGGACCCCCGGGGAACGCACACGAGGTCCCCCAGCACACTTAGCCTTTCGGGGACATGGTTCCTCGTGGGCCCGAGAGTCTCCGGGGGCTCCGAAGTACCATCACACCACAGGAGAGTCGTCTGGGAAGTTGACTGGGAACATGACTGATCGCCTTCTCGCGGCCCTCAGCGGATCGTATCGCACAAAGATGCACCAAGTGCCCTCTTGAACCGACGACGACGACGAAACGACGAAGACGACGACGACGACGACGACGACGACGACGACGACGACGACGACGACGACGACGACGACGACGACGACGACGACAACGACGACGACGACGTCGTCGACGACGACGACGATGACGACGACGACGACGGCGCGCCCCAAGTGGCGACGACGACATTACGACGACGACGACGGCAAGCCCCAACAGGTTCCCCAAGACGCCCCCCAAACCCATGGTCCCAGAAGGCCTTCTGGGAACCCGATTCATCAGGCCCCCGCCCCCCTACGCAACCAACTTCCCCGGAAGCCTTCAGGAATGCGGATTGACATGCATGGATTTCTCATTGCCCATCATGCGTTCAGAGCTATGGACAACTCTTCACTTCCCGTTCAAACCATCTGTGATACACACACACACTACACAAAATTCCAGTGGCGGCGGCAGCGGGTTGTGGGGCGAACGAGCGCTACGATGGGGAACGGCGCAGGGGGCCAGGAGGGGGGAGCGAGCCCGGGGGCGGGTCCGAGCGCAGTCGGACGTGGCGTAATGGGTGGGCGATGAGTAGGGTTAAGTCGGGCATGTCCCTCTACAGGAGGAATATTCAAAAATAATAAAACAAACAGCTTGTGAAAGGTGTTTCTATGATTTCTGATGATTACTGAGTGTTATTTTAACTTTTTCTATGTTTCTTCAAACATCCGCCTGTACGGGGACATGCCCGACCTAACAGTAGGGAACAACATCTCTGGGCCGCCTTATCCCAAATGGCTGACCGGATGAATGGCCTCCTTTACTTTTTTGTTCGTTTTCTTTTTTTCGCACTGGGTTTGGTACGATACTCGTTCTTCGGGGAGGGGTGGCCGACATCACGTGGTGCAGGGTGACGGCGAAGTCCCGGATCCTCGCTTTATGATGGCCTAAAGTTGTGGGCCACGTTCTCTTGACGCTGGATGGCGTCGAGCTGCTCCTTCAACGTCTTGCGATGGGCGGGCAGCTCGGCTTGCTTGGTCTGGCACGGGAATCCATGACGTGTGAGACTCTGCAAAGCGTTGGGCCGAATTGAGCACTCAATAAGGGTATGGTCGTCATCACCTGACTGCCTCAGTTTCGGTGCACTGGACCTGGTACTCTGTGAGCTGACGTTGCTGGCGACCGCTCATCCGGAGACAGCACGCGGTCCGGGCGTGCGAACCGTTATTGTTTTGCACGGCCTGGGGGCAGACTCCTGGACAGCGCATCTTCCAGAATTCGCAGCCGAACTGGGAGAAAGTCTACACGTTGTCGAAGCGTTTAATGTGACACGAGTGTATACATAGTCGAATTATATTTCGTCGAAGCGCTTACACGAAGTATCATGAATCTGTCGAATTCAAAGAGCGCTGTCGAAGCGAAGCGCTCGACGAATTCATGAGATTCACGTTGTCGAAGCGT